TATCACCACTGATTCCACAGAAATACAAACTACCATCAGAGAATACTATAAAAACCTCTTCACAAATAAGCTAGAAAATCTAGAAGAAATGGATAAATTCCTGTACACATATGCCCTCCCAAGACTAAAACAGGAAGAAGTCGAATCCCTGAATAGACCAATAACAGGCTCTGAAATTCAGGCAAGAATTAATAGCATACCAACCAAAAAAGTTCCAGGACCTGACGGATTCACAGTCTAATTCTACCAGAGGTACAAAGAGGAGCTGGTACCATTCCTTCTGAAAATATTCCAATCAATAGAAAAAGAGGGGATCCTCCCTAACTCATTTTATGAGGCCAGCATCATCCTAATACCAAAGCCTGGCAGAGACACAACAAAAAAAGAGAATTTTAGACCAATATTCCTGATGAACATCGATGTGAAAATCCTCAATAAAATTCTGGCAAACTGCATCCAGCAGCACATCAAAAAGCTTATCTACCATGATTAAGCCAAATTCATCCCTGAGATGCAAGGCTGGTTCAACATGTGCAAATCAATAAACATACTCCATCATATAAACAGAACCAAAGTCAGAAACCACATGATTATCTCAATAGATGCAGAAAAGGCTTTTGACAAAATTCAATAGCCCTTCATACTAAAATCTCTCAATAAACCAGGTATTGATGGGACGTATCTCAAAATAATAAGAGCTATTTATGACAAACCCACAGCCAATATCATACTGAATGGGCAAAAACTGGAAGCATTCTCTGAAAACTGGCACAAGACAGGGATGCCCTCTCTCGCCACTCCTATTTAACATAGTGTTGGAAGTTCTGGCCAGGGCAATCAGGCAGGAGAAAGAAATAAAGGGCATTCAGTTAGGAAAAGAGGAAGTCAAATTGTCCCTGTTTGCAGATGACATGATTGTATATTTAGAAAACCCCATCGTCTCAGCCCAAAATCTCCTTAAGCTGATAAGCAACTTCAGCAAAGTCTCAGGATACAAAATCAATGTGCAAAAATCACAGGCATTCTTATACACCAATAACAGACAAACAGCCAAATCATGAGTGAACTCCCATTCACAATTGCTTCAGAGGGAATAAAATACCTAGAAATCCAAGTTACAAGGGATGTGAAGGACCTCTTCAAGGAGAACTACAAACCACTGCTCAGTGAGATAAAAGAGGACACAAACAAATGGAAGAACATTCCATGCTCATGGATAGGAAGAATCAATATTGTGAAAATGGCCATACTGCCCAAGGTAATTTACAGATTCAATGCCATCCCCATTAAGCTACCAACGACTTTCTTCACAGAATTGGAAAAAACTGCTTTAAAGTTCATATGGAACAAAAAAAGAGCCCGCATTGCCAAGAAAATCCTCAGCCAAAACAACAAAGCTGGAGGCATCATGCTACCTGACTTCAAACTATACTACAAGGCTACAGTAACCAAAACAGCATGGTACTGGTGCCAAAACAGAGAGATAGACCAATGGAAAAAAACAGAGCCCTCAGAAATAATACCACACATCTTCAGCTGTCTGATCTTTGACAAACCTGACAAAAACAAGAAATGGGGAAAGGATTCCCTATTTAATAAATAGTGCTGGGAAAATTGGCTAGCCATAAGTAGAAAGCTGAAACTGGATCCTTTCCTTACTCCTTATACAAAAATTAATTCAAGATGGATTAGAGACTTAAATGTTAGACCTAAAACCATAAAAACCCTAGAAGAAAACCTAGTCAATATCATTCAGAACATAGGTATGGGCAAAGACATCATGACTAAAACACCAAAAGCAATGGCAACAGAAGCCAAAATAGACAAATGAGATCTAATTAAACTAAAGAACTTCTGAACAGTAAAAGAAACTATCATCAGAGTGAACAGGCAACCTACAGAATGGGAGAAAATTTTTGCAATCTACTCATCTGACAAAGGGCTAATATCCAGAATCTACAAAGAACTTCAACAAATTTACAAGAAAAAATCAAACAGCCCCATCAAAAAGCGGCAAAGGATGTGAACAGACACTTCTCAAAAGAAGTCATTTATGCAGCCAACAGACACATGAAAAAATGCTTATCATCACTGGACATCAGATAAATGCAAATCTAAACCACAATGAGATACCATTTCACACTGATTAGAATGGCGTTCATTAAAAAGCCAGGAAACAACAGGTGCTGGAGAGGATGTGGAGAAATAGGAACACTTTTACACTGTTGGTGGGACTGTAAACTAGTTCAACCATTGTGGAAGACAGTGTGGTGATTCCTTAAGGATCTAAAACTAGAAATACCATTTGACCCAGGGATCCCATTACTGGGTATGTACCCAAAGGATTATAAATCATGCTACTATGAAGACAACATGCACCTGTATGTCTATTGCAGCACTATTCACAATAGCAACGACTTGGAACCAACCCAAATGTCCATCAGTGATAGACTGGATTAGGAGAATGTGGCACATATACACCATGGAATACTATGCAGCCATAAGAAGGATGAGTTCATGTCTTTTATAGGGACATGGATGAAGCTGGAAACCATCATTCTCAGTAAACTATCGTGAGGACAGAAAACCAAACACCGCATATTATCAGTCATAGGGGACTTGAACAATGAGAACACTTCGACACAGGAAGGGGAACATCACACACTGGGGCCTCTCATGGGGTTGGGGGAGGTGAGAGGCATAGCATTAGGAGAAATACCTAATGTAAATGATGAGTTAATAGGTGCAGCACACCAACATGGCACATGTATACATAGGTAACAAACATTGTGCATGTGTACCCTAGAACTTAAAGTATAATAAAAAATAAATAAATCAATCAATTAATAAACTAACCATAAAAAAACTAGACCTAGATCCTTCATATGTGCAGTTCATAGTAGGGTTTGTGTTCCTATGAGAATCTAATGCTGCTGCTGATCTGACAAGAGGGAGAGCTCAGGCAGTAATGTGAATGATGGGGAGCAGTTGAAAATACAGATGAATCTTCACTCACTTGCCCACTGCTCACCTACTGCTGTTTGGCCTAGTTTCCAACAGGCTACAGACCAGTACTGGTCATGGCCTCGGGGTTGGGGACCCCGATCTAGATTATTTTACTGACCAATTTGCCTGACCTTAGAGGAGAGTTAATTTTAATTTGGCTCCATAACCAGTAGGAGTGACACTTATAACCCTAGAAATCTGAGACTTTTAAAAAATCTTATCATTGACTGCTCTCACTCTCATCATTAACTGCTTTCACTCTCAAGCAAGAGACCAAGAGATTACCAGTATGGTTTGCAGGGGTGTATAGCCTCTGCAACCATGGTCTAAAAATGTATTTTAATCATAGGGAAGATAGCATGAGTGTGCCAAAGTTTTGTCAGAACCCAAATACAACCCAGTTGAAAAAGAAGGGCTTGGGTGTTCCCTTCTCATTCTCCCACTTTGCTTGTCCTCCTTGAGCAAAACCTCTTCTGTTATGACACTCTAAAGGAGGGGTTTTATAGTGACACAGTCCACAAGGTACCACTAAGTTAGTTTAACAAGATTACCTGTTTCATCATGCAGGCAAATAATCCATGCCATTAAGTTCTCCTAGATCACACAGGAAAGCAATCCCAAAGAGGCTGTCCATTCCTTTTATTTAAACCACGAGTCTCAATCCCTTGCTGGGTCATAGGCTGTCTGTCATTGCCTGGTACCTCTTTAGAACTAAGAGCAAATAAATTAGCTTTAGAATTGGTGCAATTTAGCTCGCAGGTTCTCTGAAAACTTTCAGTCTCATCTGCAGGGGACAATAGCAGTGGCCACGGAATTTCTTCTCTAGCTTTCTCAGAGGCCCTCTGTTGGATCTCTAATTTGACCCACCAGGCATCTTTGCCTGAGAGTCTAGGACTAAGGAGAAGGGCCACTGGTGTCCCTCAGAACCAAAAAGCTTATGTAAACAATCTGCTAGCACTCTCTGAGAGTGCCCCATGGTGTTGGACAGCACTTTCTAAGACCTACTGATAGGGCTGGCAGAGTGCACCGTGGGACAGTCGACTCTTGCAAATGATCCACTAGTACCCCCCAAGAGGTCTCAACTCTAGCATCTCCCACAAATTCCCTGGGGATCTGCATGCTTTTTGCTTTTCCAGAAAGGCATTGTGCTTAATTGACCACCCTGCTCACAGCCATTTGTCACCAAGGGAGCTGCCAAGTGTGAAGATGGTCAATTAAGATAGCAAGCCAAATTGAAGCTAACAATTAGCCTTTATTCACTTACTGCAACAACATAAGCAAGAGTCTAAACATGGAAGGTCACTGACTCCATCAATATTACATTTTCCCCACAAAATAACATTGGGCAAGGGTAGGATGTATCGGCATAGATGGGAGGATAACTTCTCACTGTATGTACAGCCATGTGTACCATATCATAGACCATATATATTCATCCACACATAGATACACATAATTATGTACCATAATTGATATTATACTATTGTTTCTGGTATATATATATATACACACACACACACATATATACACACATATATATACACGTATAACTCTGTGTGTGTATATATATATGTTCATATATGTGTGTGTATATATATATGTTCATTCAACTAATCTCCTGTGCTTAAAAATCTCAATGGTTTTGAATACTTTGCAATTACAAATAATGCTGTAATGAATGACCTTGAGCATATGCATTTTCATTGTTTGGTCTATGATTATGTATTAACCTAAAGTATAAATAACTTAAGGAAAGTAGAGACTAATATAAAACATATTTAATATCTAGGAATATTTATGAAATAATAATACGTCTTCAACACACATTGAAAGTTTTCTCACCATTTTCATGTCAGATCTAGCATTAAGGTAGTTTACTTATAACTTTATAAGATGAAAGAAAATGTTGCTTCCGCTTGTTATAAATTTGAACTCTAGGATTTCATAGTAGATTTATTTTTTTAGTAAGGGGCTAAATTTCTCTCTTAACATAGCGCATGGTGAAGAATCAAGTGAAAATCCTATGCTTAAACATCAAGATGCAGTGTCAAAAATCCAAGTGCAATTAGAGAAACAAGAAACTTCTGAAGGAGGACGTAGCAGTAAGTATAATGATGATAGCTATTTTATATTATTTTAAATTAATCTCAAAAGAACTTTTTTCTTTGGTTCATACTTATGTATTTGAGTACATATATTTTATAGATAATTTATACTCTAAAGTGTAAATACTCTAACATAACTCAAGAACAAAAACAAAGATAATGATATGTTTTGGTTAGAATTTCTTGTCATAATATTATTACACAACTTAGTTTATGCTCTCAGTATCCATCTCAGGACAATAACAGGCCAATAATTGTCTCATAAAAGATGGGTACCTTTCATCTGCTGCTGGCCATTTATGGGCACCTCTGATCTGTAGTAGTCCCAGTCGGTAGGCAGAGGTATTGCTGAGATCTGTAACTGAAGCAGCAAATGGAAATCAGAGAGGTATAAGGGCAGCTAAGGTGGCCAGTAGAAGGATTTCCAGGGTATCATGTTGGTCAAGGCCCCATTCAAAGGTAGTGGTTTTTATGGCAACCTGATAGAGGATGCTGTCTGATCTCTGTGGCTTGAATGTGAGCATGGTGGCAGATGAGTGGTCCCTCCTATTGCTCACATTATTTTTACTATTTGAGTTAGAGCTGGCCGAAGGCATGACAATCATCATCTCTGGAATGGAACACCATAGCCTTTACAGATTACACCCAGGAATTTCACTTGGGTTTTAGGTCCTTGTGCCTTGTCCAATGATAATGGCACAGTACATGCTGCAGGTGGGTGAACAGAGCATCTGGTTCCTTTTGGGTAGTGTCCTTGTCTGAGCCCACTAGGATGATTTCATAAACAGTGTGGAAGGTTAATGCTTCTTCCAGGAGTGGAACTTTGTCCAGGTCATAACCTATACATTGATTACAAATAGTTGGGGAATTTTGGAAGCCTTGTGGAAAGATATTAGTGGTTTATTGTAACCTATCCTACATAATTCTAACTAATCCTGATCATCCTCGTGGAGAGGAATGCTGAAAGGACATTTGCTATGTCAACTGGTACATACCAAGTTCCTTCATCCTGAACAGCCTCTGACTGTCACAATATCAGGTTACCACTGGTGCCAACAATGTCAGCTTACCACTGGTGCCAAAGGTAGCACTTACGCTTTTTAGAACCCTTATCAGTACAGGGTTTAGGCACCTGAGGTCTTTCACATAGGCCAGATGGGTCTATTGAATGCAGAAATAGTGTACAGATAATTGACTTCTTAAAGCTCAGCAATGGGGGAAATTATTCCCTTTTTTATCCCCAGAGTATTAATACTGGTTTTGGTAGACATTGGTACTAGGTGCCAGTAGTTTGGTAGGTCATGATCTTCCACATATCCCACAAAATACCTGGACTGCTACAAATCCCATCAGGAGGTGGGTGTAAATGCTAGAGTTGTTCATATAGAAAATATATTTAACCAGTAATATATTCAGTAGTAGAGGCCATGACAATAGGGATTTATAGTGACCCAAAGGGATCTACCCCATAGTTGGTTTAGAAAGAGGTCTTGTTTGTGGTGACCTCAGATTAAAAACTAGAAAGAATTATTTGTTTCCTCCTCATCCTCATGTCAGGGAATGTGAGGATCACAGTAATTTGTTGACCAGTATCCAAAAGGCCCAAGTAATGTCATTTTTTCCCACCCCCACTTCAAACTTTGTCCTAAGTGTAGGTCCTCAGTTCCCCACTGGGGATATAGGGACCTTGTACTAACCCCTAGTCATGCTCATTTGTGAAAGATGAGAGATCTGGGTAAAAGTAGGAAGGATCTGTATGTTAGACCCCACAATGTATCACTCTAAATGTGATAAGGTTACTTCCTTCATCAAGGAAGCAAACTACTCAAGCTTCAAGATTCACTGAGAAGGTTAGAGAAAATAACACTCATACTGTTCATAGTGGACATCACCATATGGACCTTAGTGCCTGGTGGGACCACCGTGGCTCACTGTCTGTTGGAGGGTCCATCAATCATACTCCTTTGAGACCCTGTTGTTTTGTGACCAATCTGATAGATCTCCTCTAGAAGGCCATTTCCTGGATTGAGCAGATTGCCATTTTTATGGCACTCTTTTCATTGGCCAGTGTTTGCTATCTGGGCAGCAGCCATGTTTTCCATGCTCAAAATTTGCCAGTTAATATCTGGACTATATCTGATCCACATGACCTTAGGAGGAGGTTTGATAACCAGCAGAATTGAAACGAGTGTATCTAGAAATCTGAGTCTGGTCAACAATCTTATCATCTGTTGTTTTCACTCTCACTATGCAACCAAAGGACTATCAGGGTGGCTGGCCAGGATACTGTAAAAAGCCCTTTGTTGGTCCTCTAATTTGAACCATTGAGGGAGCTTGGTTAGAAAACTGGGGGCTATATTCCCAGGCAAGATGGCCAAATAGGAACAGCTCCAGTCTGCAGCTCCCAGCGAGACCAATGCAGAAGGCAGGTGGTTTCTGCATTTCCAACTGAGGTACCCAGTTCTTCTCATTGGGACTGGTTAGACAGTGGATGCAGCTCAAGGAGGGCGAGCAGAAGCAGGGTGGGGCATTGCCTCACCCAGGAAGTGCAAGGGGTCAGGGAACTCCTTCCCCTGGCCAAGGGAAGCCACGAGGGACTGTGCCATGAGGGACAGTGCCATCTGGCCCAGATACTATGCTTTTCCCACAGTCTTCACATTACGCAGACCAGGAGATTCCTTCGGATGCCTACACCACCAGGGCCCTAGGTTTCAAGCACAAAACTGGGTGGCTGTTTGGGCAGACACTGAGCTAGTTGCAGGAGTTTTTTTCATATGACAGTGGCACATGGAATGCCAGTGAGACAGAACTGTTCATGCACCTGGAAAGGGGGCTGAAGCCAGGGAGCCGAGTGGTCTTCCTCAGTGGATCTCACCCTCACAGAGCCCAACAAGCTAAAATCCACTGGTTTAAAATTCTCGCAGCCAGCACGGCAGTCTGAAGTTGACGTGGGACACTCAAGCTTGGTGGGGGGGAGGGGCGTCACCGTTACTGAGGCTTGAGTAGGTGGTTTTCCTCTCACAGTGTAAACAAAGCTGCTGGGAAGTTCAAATTGGGTGCAGAACCCACCATAGTGCAGCAAAGCTGCTGTAGCCAGCCTGCTTCTCTAGATTCCTCCTCTCTGGGCAGGGCATCTCTGAAAGAAAGGCAGCAGACTCAGTCAGGGGCTTATAGGTAAAACTCCCATCTCCCTGGGACAGAGCATCTGGGGGAAGGGGCGGCTGTGGGTGCAGCTTCAGCAAACTTAAATGTACCTGACTGCTGGCTCTGAAGAGAGCAGCAGATCTCCCAGCACAGTGCTCGAACTCTGCTAAGGGATAGACTGCCTCCTCAAATGGGTACCTGACCCCCATGCCTCCTGATTGGCAGACACCTCCCAGCAGGGGTCGACAGACACCTCATACAGGAGAGTTCCAGCTGGCATCTGGCCGGTGCCACTCTGGGACAAAGCTTCCAGAGGAAGGAGCAGGGAGCACTCTTTGCTGTTCTGTAGCCTCTGCTGGTGATACCCAGGAAAACAGGGTCTGGAGTGGATCTCTAGCAAACTCCAGCAGGCCTGCAGAAGAGGAGCTGAACTGTTAGAAGGAAAACTAACAAACAGAAAGCAATAGTATCAACATCAACAAAAAGGAAACCCATGCGAACACACCATCCAAAGATCACTAACATCAAAGACCAAAGGTAGATAAATCCATGAAGATGAGGAAAAACCAGTGCAAAAAGGCTGAAAATTCCAAAAGCCAAAATGTCTCTTCTCCTCCAAAGGATCACAACTCCTCGCCAGCAAGGGAATAAAACAGGAAAGAGAATGAGTTTGACAAATTGACAGAAGTAGACTTCAGGAGGTGGATAATAATGAACTCCTCTGAGCTAAGGGAACATGTTCTAACCCAATGTAAGGAATCTAAGAACCTTGGTAAAAGGTCAAAGGAACTGCTAACTAGAATAACCAGTTTAGAGAAGAACATAAATGACCTGATGGAACTGAAAAACAGAGCACGAGAACTTTGTGAAGCGTACACAAGTATCAATAGATGAATCGATCAAGCAGAAGAAAGGATATCAGAGATTGAAGATCAACTTAATGAAATAAAGTGTGAAGACAAGATTAAACAGGATGAAAAGGAAATAACAGCCTCCAAGAAATACGGGAGTATGTGAAAAGATCAAACTTGCGATTCATTGGTGTACCTGAAAGAGATGGGGAGAATGGAACCAAGTTGGAAAACACCCTTCAGGATATTATCCAGGAGAACTTCCCCAAAATAGCAGGACAGGTCAACTTTCAAATTCAGGAAATACAGAGAACACCACAAAGATACTCCCCAAGTAGAGCAACCCCAAGACATATAATCATCAGATTTACCAAGGTTGAAATGAAGGAAAAAATGTTAAGGGCAGCTAGAGAGAAAGGTCAGGTTACCTGCAAAGGGAAGCCCATTAGACTAACAGCAGATATCTCTGCAGAAACCCTACAAGCCAGAAGGGAGTGGGGGCCAATATTCAACATTCTTAAAGAATTTTCAACCCAGAATTTCATATTCAGCCAAACCAAGCTAAACTCATAAGCAAAGGAGAAACAAAATCCTTTACAGACAAGCAAATGCTGAGAGAGATTTTGTCACCACCAGGCCTGCCTTACAAGAGTTCCTGAAGGAAGCACTAAATATGAAGGAAAGGAAAAACTGGTAGCAGCCACTACAAAAACATACCAAAATATTAAGGCCAATGACACTGTGAAGAAACTGCCTCAACTAATGTGCAAAATAGCCAGCTAACATCATGATGACAGGATCGAATTCACACATAACAATATTAACCTTAAATGTAAATGAGAAAATGCCCCAGTTAAAAGACACAGACTGGCAGATTGGATAAAGTGTCAATACCCATTGGTGTGCTATATTCAGGAGACCCATTTCACATGCAAAGACATACATAGCCTCAAAATAATGGGATGGAGGAATATTTACCAAGCAAATGGAAAGCAAAAAATA